TCCTCCTCGCTCATCCGATAGATGCAACCTTTCGGCGGCACGGCACCGGCCTCAAGAATGATCTCGTGAGAGATCGGCTGATCCGGCACCACACCGGTAGGTGACTCGAAGATGTCGGCGAACTCGTCCAGCAACCGCACCACCCGGGGGTCCGAAGACAAGTCCGTAGGTGAAGAGTCGGCAACCGCGACGGTCCGTAGGAAACATAGGTCGATTTCCTCGGGCTGCTCGTAAGCGCACGTCACCCAGAATGATTTGGCCGTCACACTTGGCACCGAATCGAAGGGTGCGGAAGAGGAATAGTACACGCCACTTCAGCGCCGAAGGCGTCGTGAACGCTAAGAGTCCGCCGGTGGAAGTTGACCGTGTGATCCGCACTTGCAAGCCAAGGCATTCCCAGAATAATATCGAAGTCTGTGTCCAAAATGTTGAACGTCACCGGTTTGCATGCATGAGGTGCTCAATACACCGGTACGGCCTCGATGTAACTGTCGAGAAGTTCCTGCGTCTTTCCATCCGCCAACTTGATCGCCGTGGGGTTTGCCTTCGTCCGAACTTGTGCCCCAAGGCCAGACCTTTGCATAAAGGTTTGGCTCATGAAATTGCGAGACGCGCCGCTATCCAGCAAAGTGCTGTAGGACGCTTGCCCAACTTGGATGCGGACATACATGAGCGGTGCGTTGTTGTCATCGTACCTCTGCGTGCGAAACTCGCGGGCCACCTTGGTAACATACGCAAGGATGTCCCCCACCGCGACTTCGTCATCCGTCGACGAAGTTGGTGGTGCATAAAAGGATAAGTACGTGTGAGCGCATAGTGCTGCGCATTGCGGTCCCGACATGCGGCCCGTGGTCGGGAGAGGAAGCCATGCAAAGTCCTCGGACGTGGGTCCAATACCTCTATGTTGAACTCGCGCACCGAATCCCATGAAGAACCACTAGACGATAAGTCGTCGCTGCCGGACGGAGAAGATGCCCCACACACGTCTTGTCCTCGAGCTTGAGTACCGAGCGTAGGAACGAGCCGGGCAGCATAGTCCTCAAAAGAATACAAAAGAGGAGGACTATCGACTTCCGCGTGTGCCTTGGAACGAAGGGCGGTCACCCGCGAAGTGACCGGTTCCGAAGGCGTCAAGAGTGTCGTCGAATCACTCCCGACGGTGCTCAGTTTCCAGATCTGCCCTTGCCTTTGGACGGGCAGGCCACTATCTCATGGAGATCGCTGTTGCACCATAGGCAATAGTGAAATCTCGTGCGCGCTTTGAATGCTTGCTCGGAGAGACCATATTGGGACCATGGGCCTTGAGCTGCTGCGCCGGGCCTGGGGCTAGATGCGGTGTTTGTCTTCGTCTTGCCACGTCCTCGGCCTCTGCCGGGGCGGCCACCTTCCCGGGCGGCTGCGAGTCTGTCCCCTTCATTGGCAGACACGGCCTCGCTGGTTTGGTCAAACGGCATTGCCGCCGCGACCACGGCCACTCTTGGCCGATTGTGGCATACTGCGTAGCCACACGGGCCCTACAGGGCCCGTCCCGTACTTTCAACCTAAAAGCCTAAAACTTAGGGCTTACAGGCCCCGGTCGTTTCAGCCTGAAAGCTGAAAAACAAGGGCCTGCAGGCCCTACTCCGTTTTCAGCCTATTTCTGGGCCTTTCAGGCCCAGAGGCTTTTCAGCCTGAAACGGAGGGCCATTTTCAGGCCCTCATTTGTTTCGACCTGCCCTGAGACTCAGGCACGAAAACTGGGTTTCGGGAACAGGCTATTTCTGGCCTGTTCCCCACGCCAGCTCGTGCAAGAGCTGCAGCTGCAGCCCCTGCCTTCCTTCGGCATTGGCAAGAGCATCCTCCTGGACTGCTCGCCTGCAGTCAGGAGGCAGACCCGAGTAGTACATAGGAAGTCCCATGCACTTCACGGGTAGGTAGTTGTCAGGCACGAGTAGTCTTCAGGATTCGGCCGCAGCACTCAGGAGGAGCGCTGCAGTAGTCTTCAGCGCTAGGCAGTAGGCTTCAGCGTTAGTGGTAGTCTTCGGCGCTGGGCCGCCTGCAGTCAGGAGGCAGACCCGAGTAGTACATTGGAAGTCCCATGCACTTCACGGGTAGGTAGTTGTCCGTAGGCACGAGTAGTCTTGAGGATTCGGCCGCAGCACTCAGGAGGAGCGCTGCGGTAGTCTTCATCGCTAGGCAGTAGGCTTCAGCGTTAGTGGTAGTCTTCGGCGCTGGGCGCCCATAGCCATAGCAGTAGTCTTCTGCGCTGGGCGCTGGTAGGTGGTAGATAGTAGAGTTGGGAGAGATGGCTGGCGGAGGCCAGCGAGACTTACCTGTGGCACCATAGCTCCAG